GTTTAGGGGGGGGTTTTGGAGGTCTATGATGGGTTCCTGGGGCTTTGGTATTGGAAGTTGTTGATGGACGTGGTTATGGAGGTCCACCAGGGGGCTTAGAGGGGTTTGGATGGGGTTATGGAGGTCCACCATGGATTTATGGGGGTTTGGGATCAAAAGTTCTTAGTGGATGTGGTTATGGAGGTCCACCATGGGTTTATGGGGTTTGGTATTGGAAGTTCATGGTGGACGTGGTTATGGAGATCCACCATGGGGTTTGGAGGGGTTTTGGAGGGGTTTTGGGGGGTGTTTTGGAGGTTTACGATGGGTTCATGGGGGTTTGGTATTGGAAGGTCATGGTGGACGTGGTTATGGAGGTCGACCATGGGGTTTGGGAGGTTTAGAGGGGTTTTGGAGGTTTATGATGGGTTTATGGGGGTTTGGGGGTGAAAGGTGTTGATGGACGTGGTTATGGAGGTCCACCATGGGGTTTGGGGGGGTTTGGGTGGGGTTATGGAGGTCCACCATGGATTTATGGGGGTTTGGTATTGGAAGTTCTTGGTGGATTGGTTTTTGAGGTCCACCATGGGTTTTTGGGGCTTTGTGGTCCAAAGTTCTTGGTGGATATGGTTATGGGGGTCTACCATGGCTTTATGGAGGTTTGGTATTGGAAGTTCATGGTGCACATGGTTATGGAGTCCCACCACCAACCCCACCTCCTTTTAAGGTTCCCCCAAGGATTCCTGATGTAGTTACGGAGTCCCACCACCTGCCCAACCTCCTTTTGAGGTTCCCCCAAGGATTTCCGACGTAGTTATGGGTTCCCACCACCAACCCCACCTCCTTTTGAGGTTCCCCCAAGGATTTCTGATGCAGTTACGGGGTCCCACCACCCGCCCAACCCCACCCCACCTCCTTTCTCCTGCCTCCGGCGCAGACGGGCGACGGCGTCAACGACGCGCCGGCGCTGAAGAAGGCCGAGATCGGCATCGCCATGGGCTCGGGCACGGCCGTGGCCAAGACGGCCTCGGAGATGGTCCTGGCCGACGACAACTTCTCCACCATCGTGGCGGCCGTGGAGGAGGGCCGGGCCATCTACAACAACATGAAGCAGTTCATCCGCTACCTCATCTCCTCCAACGTGGGCGAGGTCGTCTGGTGAGGAGCCCGGCACCGCTTTGGACCCCTTCCCACCACGTTGGACCAGTTTGGGCTGGTTCCCACCGGTTTGTCCCAGTTGGTCCCAGTTTGACCCGGTCCCTGCCGCCCCCTCCCAGCATCTTCCTGACGGCGGCGCTGGGGCTGCCCGAGGCGCTGATCCCGGTGCAGCTGCTCTGGGTGAACCTGGTCACGGACGGGCTCCCGGCCACCGCCCTGGGCTTCAACCCGCCCGACCTGGACATCATGGACAAGCCCCCGCGCAGCCCCAAGGAGCCGCTCATCTCCGGCTGGCTCTTCTTCCGCTACCTGGCCATCGGAGGTGAGCGCCCGCCCGGCCACCGCGGGCACCTCCTGGTCACTCTGGGGTCGCTTGGGTGAGGAGAGGTCTGGAGGTGAGGTGGAGACTCCATAAAAACATCCGGGAACACAAAAAAAACAGATTGAGGAGGTTAGGGGGGAAGGTTCCTCGAGGAACCACCTGGAGAACCCAAAGAAACCACCAGGAGACCCTAAAAACCTTCTGAGAACCCTAAAAACCGAACTGGAGACTCCTTAAAAACATCTGGGAACACAAAAAAATCAGATTGAGGAGGTTAGGGGGGAAGGTTCCTCGAGGAACCACCTGGAGAACCCAAAGAAACCACCTGGAGGCTCCATAAAACATCTGAGAACCCTAAAAAACCAACTGGAGGCTCCATAAAAATGTCTGGGAACACAAAAAAATCAGATTGAGGAGTCTCAGGGGGAAGGTTCCTTGAGGAACCACCTGGAGAACCCCAAAAACATCTGGGAACACAAAAAAATCAGATTGAGGAGTCTCAGGGGGAAGGTTCCTTGAGGAACCACCTGGAGAACCCAAAAAAAGCCACCAGGAGACCCTAAAAAACTGCCTGGAAAAGCCCAAAAAATCACCTTGAGACCCCCATGGTAGAAGGTTCCTTGAGGAACTTTGTGAGGAACACCTCGAGAACCTGACAGGATCTTCTTGAGAACCTCATAAAACCACCTGGAGACCCCCAAAAACCACCTGGAGACCCTCAAGGTGGCCCCTTGGAGGTCCCCAGGTGTCCCCAACCCCCCGTTTGTCCCCCCAGGCTACGTCGGGGCCGCCACGGTGGGAGCGGCCGCCTGGTGGTTCCTCTTCGCTGAGGACGGACCCAACGTCAGCTACCACCAGCTGGTGAGTCCCCGAGCGTCCCCAGGTGTCCCTGAGTGTCCCCAGGTGTCCCCAGATGTCCCCGAGGTGACCTCGAGGTGACCCTGGTGTCCCCCCAGACCCACTTCATGCAGTGCTCCGAGCACAACGTGGACTTCGAGGGGCTGGACTGCGACATCTTCGAGTCGCCGGTGCCGATGACGATGGCGCTGTCGGTGCTGGTCACCATCGAGATGTGCAACGCCCTCAACAGGTGAGGGACGCGGTCAGCGTGGTCATCTTCAGCGTGGTCATCTTCAGCGTGGTCACCATGGTCATCGTCACCTCTGTCATTGTCATTGTCATTGTGGTCATGGTCATTGTGGTCATTGTGGTCATTGTGGTCATGGTCATCATGGTCACCATCGAGATGTGCAACGCCCTCAACAGGTGAGGGACATGGTCAGTGTGGTCGTCTTCATCGTGGTCACCATGGCCATCTTCATGGTGGTCACAATGGTCACCTTCATCGTGGTCATTGTCACCTCTGTCATTGTCATTGTTGTGGTCATGGTTGTGGTCATGGTCATCGTGGTGACCATCGAGATGTGCAATGCCCTCAACAGGTGAGGAGCGTGGTCAGCATGGTCAGCTTAATGGTGGTCATCTTCATGGTGGTCATGTTCATGGTGGTCATTGTCACCTCTGTCATTGTCATTGTCATTGTTGTGGTCATGGTCGTTGTGGTCATTGTGGTCATTGTGGTCATCGTGGTCATCAACATCCCTGATGTCCCCATGGCCACCCCGATGTCCCCACGGCCACCTCAATGTCCTCGCTGTCCCCAACCTCTCCAAGAATCCCACCCCAGATGCCACCATGGGTGAACATCTGGCTGATGGGCCCTGTCCACCCCTGATGTCCGCATGGTGACCTCGTTGTCCCCATGGCCACCTCAATGTCCCCATGGTGACCTCGTTGTCCCCCCTGTCCCCAGCCTGTCGGAGAACCAGTCGCTGGCCCGGATGCCACCATGGGTGAACATCTGGCTGATGGGCTCCATCTGCCTCTCCATGTCCCTGCACTTCGTCATCCTCTACATCGACCCCCTGCCCGTAAGGGGACACGGGGACACCGGGGTGGTGGCCTTGGGGACCTTGGGGACCTTGGGGTGGTGGTCATGTGGACACCGGGGTGGTGGCCTTGGGGACCTTGCGGTGGTGGCCTTGGGGACCTTGGGGACCTTGGGGTGGTGGTCATGGGGACATTGGGGTGGTGGTCATGGGGACCTTGGGGTGGTGGTCATGGGGACATTGGGGTGGTGGCCTTGGGGACCTTGGGGTGGTGGTCATGGGGACATTGGGGTGGTGGCCTTGGGGACCTTGGGGACCTTGGGGTGGTGGCCTTGGGGACCTTGGGGTGGTGGTCATGGGGACATTGGGGTGGTGGTCATCAAGGTGTGGTCATTGGGTGGTGGCCATTGGTGGTCATTGGGGTGGTGGCCATGGGCTTGGTGGCCCTGGGAGTGGTGGCCTTGAGGACGTTGAGTCGGTGGTCATTGGTGGTCACTGGGGTTGGTGGTCTTGGGAACCTTGGGGTGGTGGCCATTGGTGGTCATTGGGGTGGTGGCCATGAGGGTGGTGGACATTGGGTTGGTGGCCTCGGGGACATTGGATTGGTGGTCATTGGGGTGGTGGCCATTTGTGGTCATTGGGTTGGTGGTCATTGGTGGTCATTGGGGTGATGGTCATTGGGTGGTGGTCATCAAGGTGGTGGCCATTGGGTTGGTGGTCATGGTCTTGGTGGCCATGAGGGTGGTGGTCATGGGGACATTGGGGCGGTGGCCATTGGGCGGTCATTGGGTTGGTGGTCATGGGCTTGGTGGTCATTGGGTTGGTGGCCAGGGGGACATTGGCTTGGTAGCCACCAAGACGGCGACCTTTGACCTTGAGTGACTCTGGTGGCCCTGAGGTTTCTCTGGTGACCACGAGGTTTCTCTGGTGACCACGGGTGGGTTCTGGTGGCCATGAGGTTTCTCTGGTGACCACGGGTGGGCTCTGGTGGCCATGAGGTTTCTCTGGTGGCCCCGGTGGTGGCCCCGGTGGCCCGGGAGGAGGTCCCAGCCGTGTCGCCCGGTGTCCCCAGATGATCTTCAAGCTGACGCCGCTGACGCTGACCCATTGGCTGATGGTCATCAAGATCTCCTTCCCGGTCATCCTGCTGGACGAGGCCCTCAAGTTCATCGCCAGGAACTACCTGGAGGGTGAGGAGGTGGCCCGGCCACCGCGGGCTGTCCCCGTGTCCCCTCCTGACCCCCTCGGGGTCTCCTCCACCCTTCGTGGTCACCTCCGTCATGGCCAGGTGACCTTGGCCATCTTCTCCATCTCCTGGTCACCTCCATGGTCAATTCCATGGTCCAAGGTCACCTCCACCCAATCCCTGTCCCCGTGACCATCATCTCCTGGTCACCTCCATGGTCACCTCCTGGTCCATGGCCACCTCCATGGTCCATGGTCACCTCCATGGTCACTTCCCCATCCCCTTGACCATCTCCTGGTCACCTCCATGGTCACCTCCTGGTCCATGGTCACCTCCTGGTCCATGGTCACCTCCCCATCCCCTTGACCATCTCCTGGTCACCTCCATGGTCACCTCCATGGTCTGTGGTCACATCCATCCCCTCTGTGTCCCCTTGATCATCTCCAGGTGACCGTGACCATCTCCTGGTCACCTCCATGGCCACCTCCATGGTCCATGGTCACCTCCTGGTCCATGGTCACCTCCATGGTCACTTCCCCATCCCCTTGACCATCTCCTGGTCACCTCCATGGTCACCACCATGGTCACCTCCTAGTCCATGGTCACCTCCTAGTCCATGGTCACCTCCTGGTCCATGGTCACCTCCATGGTCACCACCATGGTCACCTCCTAGTCCATGGTCACCTCCTGGTCCATGGTCACCTCCATGGTCACCTCCCCATCCCCTTGACCATCTCCTGGTCACCTCCATGGTCACTCCTGGTCCATGGTCACTCCGTGGTCACTCTGTGGTCACTCCTGGTCACTCCTGGTCCCCTCGTTGTCCCCTCGTTGTCCCCCCGTCCCCGCTGTCCCCTCCCCCTCTCATCTCCATCTCCATCTTCTCGTCCCCAGCGTGACCCGGCCGGGCCCGGCACCGCCCGCAGGTACCCAGGGACACCGGGGGTCATTGTCCCCATTGTCACCTCGGTGTCACCTCGGTGTCACCATTGTCACCTCAGTGTCACCTCGGTGTCACCTCGGTGTCATTGTCACCTCAGTGTCACCTCATTGTCACCATTGTCACCTCAGTGTCACCTCGGTGTCACCTTGGTGTCATTGTCACCTCAGTGTCACCTTGGTGTCACCATTGTCACCATTGTCACCATTGTCACCTCGGTGTCACCTTGGTGTCATTGTCAGCTTGGTGTCACCTCAATGTCATTGTCCCCATTGTCACCACGGTGTCCCCATTGTCCCCATTGTCACCTCAGTGTCATTGTCACCTTGGTGTCACCTCAGTGTCATTGTCCCCATTGTCACTTTGGTGTCCCCATTGTCCCCATTGTCACCTCAGTGTCATTGTCACCTTGGTGTCACCTCAGTGTCATTGTCACCATTGTCCCCATTGTCACCTCGGTGTCACCATTGTCCCCATTGTCACCTCGAGGTCACCTCCATTGTCACCTCGGGGTCCTCTCAGTGTCACCTCGGTGTCATTGTCCCCATTGTCACCTCAGTGTCATTGTCCCCTTTGTCACCATTGTCACCTTGGTGTCACCATTGTGTCACCTCAGTGTCACCTCGGTCTCGTTGTCAACTCAGTGTCACCTGCATTGTCACCTCGGTGTCATTGTCCCCATTGTCACCTCGGGGTCACCTCGGGGTCACCTCCATTGTCACCTCATTGTCCCCATTGTCACCTCAGTGTCATTGTCCCCATTGTCACCTCGGGGTCACCTCGGGGTCACCTCATTCTCATTGTCCCCACTGTCACCTCGGTGTCACCTCCCTGTAACGTCACCGCCACCCCCATGACGTCATTGTTCCCCCCGATGACGTCACTGCCCCATGACGTCATTGCCCCCTTTTGACGCCATTGTTCCCTGATGACATCACTGTCACCTCCCTGTGACGTCACCGCCACCCCCATGACGTCATCGATTTGCCCCATGACGTCATCGTTCCCCCACAATGTCATTGTCCCCTATGACGTCATTGACCCACCTTATGACGTCATTGTCCCCATGACGTCATTGTCCCCTATGATGTCATCATCCCCTATGATGTCATTGTCCCACCCTTTATGACGTCATTGTCCCCATGACATAACTCTTTCCCACCTATGACGTCATTGTTCTCACTATGACGTCACTGCCACCCCTATGATGTCATTGCACCCCCTATGACGTCACTGTCCCCCCATGTGACATCATTGCCCCTATGACATCATTGCCCCTTTGACGTCATTGTTCCCCCAATGACATCATTGTCCCCGTGACGTCATTGCTCCCCGTATGATGTCATTGTCCCCGTGATGTCATTGTCCCCGTGATGTCATTGCTCCCCTTATGACGTCATTGTCTCCCCTTTATGACGTCATTGTCCCTATGACAAAATTGTTCCCCAATGACGTCATTGTCCCCCCATTATGACGTCATTGTCCCCGTGACGTCATTGCTCCCCTTATGACGTCATTGCTCCCCCATTATGTCGTCATTGCTTCCCCCCCCCCGTGTCCCCTCCCCCCCTTTCTCCACCGGGGGGGGGATGGGGGATGGGGGTGGGCGGGTCAAACCCCTCCCCCTCGATGATGTCACAACGATGACGTCATCTCCCCGCCGATGACGTCACCGCCGCGTCCCCTCCCCCCCGCAGCGGAGGAGCCCGGCCGGAAGCAGCGCCGGAAGTGACGCCCCGGGGACCCCCAGGAGGATTTCGGGGACCCCCGACCCCCCC